ACGGGCAGAGCCGTACCAAAAAGGTGGCTGCAATACTCCACACACGATCTAAATTGTAGTTTATAACGATTTAAAAGCTGGTCGTCTTTTGGCTGAAACGATTATACATATATGTAAGTATATATTGTTTATATACGAATATAATTAGTCGCTATATTAAATATTGTATGTAAATTATGTCATAATTATTTATAAACTTTGATCCTATTTGTTTTTAATCTGAGCTTGTCATGTTATGCACCGCCTGTTTTTTATTCCAAACCCAGCTCTCCGGTTGACTAGTAGAGAATGCCTAATGGCATTAAGTCCGCCATTTTGTACTGTTTTGTGTACAATTTGCCACAGTAGAAAAAATACATAATGCAGTAACGAGAAAGCAATAAAAAAGAACTCTCTGTCCTTAGCATTATTATTCAAATCTGATGGTAGGGTATGATTTCCTTGTATTTTCCGTCCACTTTATTTTCCACTTGTAAAACAGCAGGTTTTGATGCGTCATATGGCAATCGGCGTTGTAAAAATAAAATAAAAATGGAAGTAAACTAATTTGCTACTACGCGAGCCCAGTGATGGGAAAATTGTGTAAAATAACTGCGAGTGTGTTTATTTTTTTTTTTATAATATCAACTGACGGACAAGTCGTCCGCCTGATGTTAAGCTACACGCTATTATGCCTTATTGCCATTGAAATAACATAAAGTATGTATTGATATACTTAATGGCCTCTGCGTTCCCGCCCGCCGGTTTGCTCTGGCTCTTAAGTCAACGTGTACTGGAAAACAGAAAACAATTCCCTGATAACAACAACAAAAAAAAACCTATTGGTTATCTCCTTCTTATTAAAGGCGGTTAAAAGTGTACGCGGACATATTTGAAACCTTTGCAGATGTTACAATCTTGCGCAAGTGCTTTAGAACCAAATCGAGGTCGCATTGTGAAACTTAAACACAAAAGATGAACACAAAGTGTTATAAAGCACGTACACTCAAGCAAACTATAAGTTTATTAACCTGAAGAATGCTAAGGTTCTAAATGTGGACGTTTTTTAATAGTAAAATTTTTCGCCTTTCAGAACAGGCTACCAGTCGTTTTCGTCAATAGCTTAATTTACTGACATTTTTACGCAGGACGTCGTTATATCTTTTCGGTGGCGATTTTAAATTCATGGACGTTTTTTAGTTTGCATTAAATTTAGATTTCATTAATGTAACACAGACACACGGTTGTCGATAATCTCACCTGATGTTAAGCGACATTGTAACCTATAATGGTAACACGCAATTGTCTAAAAATGCCTATTCACTCTAACCCTGAATAGCCCTAAATTTTACCGTTCAAGAAAAACAGGTGTTCTATTTCTTTACCGTGCATATTAGGAAGGATGAATCAATCAATATCAATGAAGTACGTCTAGGGAGTAAAACAATATATTTTACTCGACTTAAAAAAGGCGGAGGTTCTCAATTCGACTGTACTTTTTTTGACGCGATTTGTGAACCAATTTTGATGATTCTGTTTTTGGTAGAAAGAAGTTACCTCGGTATTACACATTAAATTTTGTAGAAAATATTCCTTTTATTATAGAGGTCGGTTTTTTTATAAAAAGTTATTTCATATTTAAATATTTGTTTTTTTTTCAGCCGAGACTATGAGACCTGTAAAAGGCCCGAAACGTTGGTTTGTTTGAAAAAACAAACATACGTAATTTATTTCAAGTTTCATTTTCTGTGTGTAACTATCGTGAAAACCTAGTAACTTGAGATGTGAAGATTTTTTTTAAATTAAGTGGATTTGCTCGCCTGGCTCTGGAGCAAAGATAGGATCTACGATGGGAGGAGCTCGCCCAGTAGATGCCTATTTAATCACACCGTAAAGATACTCGGGTTGTGGGTGCTCGGAAACACAGTCGCAGGCAGAGAATGTTGTAAAAAAAGTTCACGAAAAGCGCTTAGTACGCCTCAAGGAAATATCAACCAAGTAAGGATGATATTTCGCCGTGCGTCTGGATGTCCGATGGTACAAGGTGGCGGGCGAGATGAGCTGATGGAGCTCAGGGCACCCTCACCGATATATATTACGTAGAATATAAATATAAAATTCAAAAAACAAAAACAAAAATCAAATTTAGTGAAAAAAAATAAAGGAACTAAAAACCAAAATAAAAACAGAACGGGTCCAAAAATTAGATTGATGTAATGTTCATTGGAAGTGTCGTATTACAAAAAGCCTTTTCTTTTTCTTTTTTTTTGCTTAATGCCATTATATGTTGATAAATTATATGTTGCCTCCTTTACTAGTGATGAAAGTGACTCGGTCTTTTAAGGCGTTTAATAACGATTCCACTCCGTTTTACAGGACTCGACTCTAAAATTAAGACTGGGGGTTCGAGTTTTTATTAATAAGACTCAGTCGCTATATTAAAAGACTCTAAAGACTTAAACGACTTGAACAACTTGAATGACTCGAGTTGTTTGCAAAGGACTTATACCTTTTTTATGTCTTATTAAACCCGAAGTTTATAAATAAAAATGACGTAAGTAGTATGTAATAAATAATCACGTTTATTTACTTATAATAAAAGTCGTAAAATAAATACCTTGTGGGTAGAAATAAAATTACGCCATACGGCTCATGACTCGCGACTCCCTAGGCTATGAGGCGTTTCAGTTTTTTTAGTCGTTTGAGTCCTATAAGTCTTTTAAGCTTCCTAGGGTTAAAAGACTTCGACTCGTATTAGTCTTCAGTTTTGATCCTATGACTCAAGACTTGAGGCTTAAAAGACTAGACTAGTCGTGAGACATTAAAAATTAGTCGAGGTTTTCAAAAGGCCTTAAAAGACTGAGTCTCTTCATCACTATCCATTACCTCCTTGTGTTAGGAACATTCAGTTGTGGCCTAACGTATAAGTTCAAGAAACTTTACTTTGACTTTTCCAGGTACGCAGTTATATTATGTGTCCAGGTGTGAACATCGGTCACTGTTAACTGCACTATGTTAACACGGTTAACGTGGTTTCGTTAACGTGTGCGTATGAAGGTTGTAACTTTCAAAGTTGTGGTTTAATTAGACTTAACCGAAAACAACAATGTTACTCTATGGATTTTGAAATGGTATCGTATGTATATTGACTTATTTGTAGGATCATTGAGGCTTAAGATTTAAATTCAACTTTATGACGCTTCGCGAACGGTCCACTATCCAGAGCTTAAGGTGCTCTTGACCGTGATGTTTCACTGAACTTGGCGGTATTTGAACCGATTTAAAAAAAAGGAGGAGGTTTGTCGTTCGACTGTGTTTCTTATTTGTGTGTATGTTACGTGGTTATCTACTCAAATATTTATGAACCGATTTCGATGATTCTTTTTTGTTACAACAATAAAACTTGGCAAATGGATGTAATTCCACAAACTTTTAAGGTAGGTTGTTGGTTGTTTAATAACAACAAAAGCCTCCGAATAAGGTCCGCAACCCGTGGAGTACAATGTCCTAGGAGCATAAAAAGCAACAACCGCCAACTTTTGTTTTCAACGGTCGCCGACTGGCCCACGCCTGCGCAGGCTCGCGGCGGCGACGATGCGTGGCGGTAAGAAACATCGCCGGCGCGGGCGGCGGTTGCAGTACAGGATGAAAGTTCCAGTGTTGCCACTTTATTATTTTTGGATTATTTTGCTGCATCTTTAATTTGTAGCGCTGAACTAACATTTAGAAGTCGCATTGCACAGTGCACAAAATTAAGTTCTCGTTTGTTTATGGAAACTTTAATTAGTAATTTATTTTGTTACCATAAGAACAATCAATAGGTCATCGAGCCAATAGGTATACATACGTAAGTATTAACTTAACATATTATCGTTTCAAGGTTTAACATTAGCCTTTACAAAGACATTTTTTTTAACTTGACGTCTTAATTGCCCTATTTTACCAACCCATCAAATATACAAAGAGAATTTATTTTTAATTTAGAATTCAAAATTATTAAAATACAATCAGTTTTATTTGACATGCAAAAAATATATACTACAAAAATATATAAAATATATTTATACAAAAATATATACCATAAACATTCACCTAGTAGGTCAATGATCAGAAACAAAAACAGAAAATAATATAATAAAAATAGTAATTTTATTGTAAGTATTATACAGAAAAAAAATTAAATAAGGCTAGTCAAAAGTCCCAATAGTTGAGGTATATGTAAAAACATAGCCATGGCTGTTATTTTGCCATCGCCCATGGAAAGGAATACAACAAACCAAATTAATGCATTAGCACAATTAATTTACTATTAAATACAAAATAATAATACCTATGTCGAAATTACACACTCAAAACACAAAATAAATTACAATGTAATGTTTGGAAGGATTAAGATCTTACGTGTAATCTGTAATAAATTAGAACACATTAAGGTATTTTTAAACGTCAGTATGACAGTTGCAATGAAGCCATATTAGAGAACACAAAATTTTTTTTTTGAATATTGTTTTTTGTTCCTTTATTTTTTTCACAAAATTCGGGGAGCATAATATATAGAATAACTAAATATGGCTGTTTACAAAAATAACAGAAAATGACTAAACATAAAGTTGATGTAGTGTTCATTGGAGGTATCGTTATTGTTGACTATTCAAAACATTACATAAATTGTATTAACAAAACCTCTTGAGTTCATTCGATAAAAATATTTTTTGTGCGACTAATGTTACCTTCCACTACGTTTTCATCATACGAAGCATGATACGAAGTTACAACCAGAGCATTTTGAAATATCCTTGAGTGTCATTGAGTCATTCCTTTTTGTCTGTATTGTAATTAGTTAAACCACAAAAGACAAAATTATATATTGAGTATTATAATAAAATATGAAAAATGTTGTATTCAAAATGGCAGTGTTTCTTTGTTTGAACAAAATGAGTCACTGCAAAAATATTCTGCAGATATCGCTACCACAAGCAGGCAACACTGCACCGTTCAACTTTTTTTTATTCCGCCAGTCCGTTTGTTTCGCTCGGGCGAGGAGTACGTCTCGTTTCACCGCGAGTTAAACTACTTTTACGCCGTCTCTGTAGAGCGTAACCAACCGGTTTTGATTTGAAAGTGAGGAGTGGCGTGGCTAGAGCCTTTGTACTATACACCCTATTTCAGTGAATAAAAACTCCTTACCTAGTGTAAAACTCTTTAAAAAGTGACTCATTATTGGATCGCGCCTATCTTTCGAAGGTAAATTACTAATTTTGTATCAAAATTGTTATCTTTTATTATCGATGTCTCTGATTGCGATAGTTTATGTTTATTTGATAGTGGCAAGTTGTAGCAGTTTAAAAAAAAAACGTTTACCTCTAACTTTTAGAACTTTGTGACCCTTTTTTGTAACAATTTTTACAACTACCTGTTTCGTTTGGTGTTTTTTTTATAAATTTGTTTGTTACGAGAACAGTTAAGAAAAGAAACTCCCATTGATAAATTGATGTTTTATTGATTTTTATGGTGGTGAAATTTACACCGGGGTTTTTCCCATGTCTTTTCTGGGAATCATGTAGTTAGTGAGGTGACACCGTTCCGATATCGGCATATCGGAAAAAGTACTTTTAAATATACCTATTCAATTACGTAGGCGTCTATTTTTACCTTCGGAAGTCAATGAACGAGAATATCTGCGGATAATATCTAGTACACGTATAGCGATATATCTGTGGGGGTTATTTAATTATAATTAAAGACAAAGCATTAACTTTGAGATTTAATATTATGAAGAAAAATTTAATCATGAGAGCATATAATTCCTTGATTACTAAGAAGTATGCAGATAGATAAGTCTATTATTTCAATGTGGTATCTAATTGGCCAGTAATAGTTGCTTTCTTCATTTAAACATTGAAAATCTAGCATACGGGTTTGAAAATCCAACCGTAAATCTTTAACGGTGTTCTTAAATCATTACTTACTTGCAAAGGCTGGTTGCAAAGGAAGTTCTCGATCAGTAACTAGTTATTTTAAACGTTCTTTACCTATCTCTTTGAGAGAGGTGATTTTTGCGAAGTTGAGTCTCGCGGAATTGTAGCTTTAAAACGTCCACCATATTTTTAAAGCTGTGATTTTGAATAATTAATAACTCGTAACGGCTTATTGCAATTCAGAATTTCTTTTGTTGTGGACAACGTCCCTATATTAATTAATTAGAGTGCTTAGTTTAGCTTTTATTTATCAATATCTCGATAGTCGGTGACTCGCAACTTTCAAAGGTGAAATACGTGTTCCATTACATATAGACATTTTTAATCTAGATATTTTAAGTAGACGAAGTCTTCAGTATACTTTTGCTATGAAAGGCAGAGATTTTATCTGATGTTGTCATATTTTTGTTTAATATGGTGTAATAACAGATATACAAGCCACGCTTACTCAAAATAACAGTTATCGGGACAACTTCACAGTGACTGTAATCTACTAGCAATTGTACACAACTTATGCAATTAAAAAAGTACACAGTTGAGTGAACAGCATTAAACTGTAATGTTAAAAAGTTGCAAATTTAATTGCATTTAGAATACCTATAATGGTTACAAAAATAAAAAAAGAAATTACGACAACGCTACACAGAGAAAATGACCAACAACCAAAAGAAAAGGCGCCAAAAATAAGTACGTTTAGAATTTCAATCTAAAAGTAAACTGTTAAAAAGAATTCATTAAAATTCAAAAAATTGTTTAAACTTAGTGAAAACAAATCACAACAGATACCTTTTATTGTATTTAGCGACACGTCCTGTGTAATATAACAACACTAAAATATGGTGTCCCAACGCCAATCCTTCTTCAGAATTATTAACCGACTTTAAAAAAGGAGAAGGAGGTTCTCAATACGACTGTATATATTTTTTATTTTTTTGTGTATAAGTTACGGGATTACTCCGAGATTTTTGTACCGAATTCGAAATTTTTTTTTTTGTTGGAAAGAAGGTACCGGGGTACTTTCCGTTAACCAATTGCAATAAAACTTGGCAAATAAATGAAATTCCACGAACTTTTGTAATTAGTAATTAGCAATTAGTAACGCAAAGTTCGAACACTAATAAAAATTCGTTCTATCCAGCTGGAATCAACTAGCGACCTCACCATACCATTCATATACACAGTTTCTTAAATAAAAAAGTAAGTCGCGTTTCTAGAATAATAATAATAATGTCTCAAACTAGGTAATTCCTTGTACTATGAGAGTACCAGAGCAATTGAATTCACTCTGGCACTTCCCGTCACACCCAGCCCAGAAACAATTTAGAAAAATTTCATTTTCAGAATACCGGAAATAATAATAATTATTTAAGAATATTGTCTCTCTACAGTATTTTCTTAAAATCAGATTTAAACAAATATTAAAAAATAAAATAATTTGACACAAAAGGCAGAGGCTCAATTTAATCGACACGGTGATGAGACCGCACCGCGCAGCTCTGTTTTTCAGCCTGTCCATAATCCCTATAGTCTTAGTGGAAAACATATCAACGAGGGCTGAATGAGCATTTAGAATCGAACCCGGGACCTCCTCATCCAGTGCCCACTGTGTAAACCGCCGGTCGGGCCATCGATGTCGTCAAGTAATAACACACATTTCTGTCCAAATACCACCAGTACCACTCCGTTGTATATATCCTAAGATGCAGTTTCTTCAATTTGAATGTAAATCGCATTCGCCTCGTATGGACTTCGCTCAACTGCTTTGTTATCCAAAAGCAATCGCATTGTTTTCAATTCAGCACTGCATTTGCTGTTACAGATTTTCCATGAAACCTCCGTGTGTAAACTGTTGAACGTTTGTATGTACGTTCAATGGAGATTTATTAACAATATTTGTAACTAGGGTTTGCGTTTAACTCGCGCCTTGTCAAATAAATTAACGAGTTTTAAAGTACTGTTTTGTAAACCGCTTGTAGTTCCTTATGAGTGTTGAATTATTCAACTATACCTATAACAAACCTATAACAGTCCTCAAATGTTCGTGGTATTACGTCTATTTGCCAAATTTTATTGAAATCGGTTGCCCGAAAGTGCGCGAAACCGGATACATACCCTAGTTTGTGGAATATTTTCTTCAAATTTAAATGGGACCAAAACTGAGGTGCCTTCATGCACAATGAGAACCTCTTATGTACTTACTTATGTAATTATTTTAATAAAATATTTTGAGAAAAAAGAAATCAATATAGGTAATTTACGTTTTTGTGTGACATGAATGTCTAAAAATAACCTCTAGTAAGCTGTTTAATAGGTATGGAATAAGTTATCTTCAGGTCCTATCTCCATAGTAGTTAGTGACTTGGAATTATAAATTTACCCGAGGTCAAATTAAAATCATCTTTATTCCAAAGGTAAGCAAATTACACTTGAAATCGTCGTATTAATTTGACTCTACTGCTCATTCGTAAGGCAGAGTCCCCTGAGAAGAATGAGCAAGAAACTCCAGGGGTTGCTCTTTTAAATATACATTTGACATTCAAAATATTTATTTCAAACATCGAAGATTGCGACTACCTGCAAGAGCTGAATGGGTCGCACCCAGGGGTCCTTGTCATCGAAGTACGCAAGCTGTAAATGACCTTAAGCATAAAGTTTTTGTTTCACTGTAGTTTTCAACTTCGTAAAGGCAAATTTTTAATATCTATTTGGAACCTTATTATGGAAGCGTATACATTGCCCCTATATATTGTAAGTAAGTGAAATTGTGACTTTGTATTGTGGTTATCAACTATACACAGCAAGCTTTTGTTAAGCACCCCGTGATATATTATATATTACTTGAAATCTAGACAATTAGACGAGGAGATCCCGGACTCGATTCCCGGTAGGACCAATTTGGGAAAGACATTTGAAATTGGTTTCGGTATTGCGTGTTCTGGTTGGTGCCATGGAATGATTTCTGTTGCTGTGGTAGGGACGTCCCTAGTTTCAGACCAGGTATTTGTTGTGGTTGTTTGGCACAATATAAGCTATACCAGGGCGGTTTGGTAAGTCCGTGACTTAAGAAGAATATTTTTTTAATTATGGATTATTTTTGACCAGCGATATTCTTCAACTCATTAAAAAAAATATATTTTGTCAAACTCTGAAAAATAGTACTCTGTTTCAGCTGTCACTTTCTCATTTGATTTTAAAAATCAAATTAAAAAGTCAATCTGGTGAATACGGGGAGTGCGGCTATAGTTAGTACCATAATTGGACAAGTTTTGATGTTATGATTGCAGATGAGAAGCGGAATACTCGAAATACGTTATCTCCATCTTCGAAAAATATGTTTGTAATATGTTTTATTTTCGCGCTAATTTAAAAAAAGTAACGTCTGTTGCGTAGGAAGGAATTCTAAATAAATACATAAATTTCGAAAAAAGTTATTATATAAACTTAGTCACTTTTTTATCAAACCCTCGTATTATACTTTTTCTTTGTTATAGCAATTAAACTTATCAACGAAAAAAAATCATAGTCTATGAAGTCGACGGGATATAAGAAACAAAGGTACAAAAAAATGTTACAAAACTATAGATTTCATAACTTGGCTCACACAAGTTATGAAACTTATTGTTGCTTACTACATTATGTGCCCCGTAATTATGTACTATATAATGTATTAATGTGCGCTTACAAATTCCTAAACAACAATTATATAACGGTTATATGCATTGGCGGAACCGCAGCGAACGGACGTACGCGAAACCACTATAGTTTACCTTTTATAGCCTGGTGATTCATACCGGCTAGCCCACAGGTTAAACTCAAGTACTCTTTATTTCATTGGGAAGTAAAGAACATTTGAAATCTTCATATTGATTAAACTCTACTGCTCATACGTAAGGTAGATTCCTCCTAGAATAACGAGCAAGAAACTCTAGGGATTGGTTTTTTGTAAAAAATACAATTGTACACATTTATCATATTTTACAATATTTATTAGCACAGAGCTTCTTGTGAAGTGTTCGTCCAGGGAAGTACTGCCACTTTACCTATTACTGCCGCCAAGCAGTAATGTCAGCATTACTGTGTTCCGGTTTTGAAGGTAACCCCGTTTATTTGCAGTATTCGATGTGCGTTTGTATGTATATGTTAAGCGTTTTTGCAGTACAAATGACGTGTGAACGGTTCTGTTATAATGTATGCTCCATTGTTCAGTCGATTCGGATTTACACCGCAAAAAAAAACGCTCAGTGCAATGCTATGTGAACGGGGGGT